GATTACCGGTGATTACCAGGGATTACCTACTCTGTGTACACCTGATTACCTCAGTTGGGCACCCCTCGGCCGCCAGCGTGGCTCCGCGGGCAGGCGGGCCGCCGCCTTCACTCAGCTGCTTGGCGGGTTGGCCTAGCCAGCGCGTATCAGGCGCTATCACTAGTCGCCTCCTGACTGAAACATATTTATTCTGAGGGCGCCTTCGATCGCACACTCCATCTCGCTATGTGCCATGTGCCATGTCGGGAATAAATCGTCTAGGCTCTAGTTCTATATTTTAGAATTCAGTATCCGTTACAAAACTAGTTTTATTATTCTAGCTACAATCAAAATCAAGATACATACGTCATACCATTAAACGAAAGTGGACAGTGAGTCAAACCTCACAAGTCGACGATTTAATCAAAGAAGTCAAAGGAAACATGGTCGGGAGAGCCATAAAAAAAATCATCAAAAACCATAGTCAGAATCATCATCATCGCTGTCATCAAGCCAACTCCAACTGAAACGACGACAACCGGTCTTCTTGAAGTTGACAACATGAGTGGGACGGAAGGCGTTTGCGTCCATCTTCACAATCACGTCCATCTTCTCCTTGTCCTTGGCCAGAGTGTCGTAGCGCAGCGGGTGGCGCCCGGGGAGGAATGGCGGCTGAGGTGGCATGCGCCCTTTGGTTTCAGGCACCTCGACGATGTTGGACACCAGCACCTCGCACAGCAGCATAGAGCGCAAGTCCTCATCCTCGTCACAATAGTGGGACGCGTAAAAAGTGATGGCCGAGAAAGAGACGCCCGCGCCAAAGCGATGGCCTGCGAGAAGTCAGAACTTGCGTTAGCCGAAATGGCGAAGGAAGTGGAGTTATCGCAATAATGGAGCATGTACTTAATGACTTACCACGGTTCTGCCCGTGACGGGAGACATCAAAATTATTTTCCAAAATCGAGTCGACGTTACGCGATTTGGTACCGTGCCAAACCTTCACAACCCGTACTTCTCCGTAAGTGTCCTTGTACTCCTCTTGCTTATCCTTGAATTTCAGTTCAAGGTTGTCATTTTTTACTGCTTCGATGGATTGTATAGTCAAGCAGTTGTTAGTTTTGTAAAACACTGCAAAGTGCGATTTTGTAAGAAATACGTCATAAACAAACCCCTGCAAAAGGACTGCAGTACCGGGTCTTAATATGCGCTCCAGTGTAGCGGGTTTTCCTACTCCCTTCGTCCGTAAGGCGCCATAGCGCCTGCGGCCCAAGGGAGTACGCACCCGTCCGTACTCTAAAAAACTAATTAACGAGAATTATACTTACAGTCGGAAACAACTTGGTAATCATTGGCGTCTGGTGTTAACGTAGTTCTCTCTACGACTGCCATATTTATCGACTTCTCTCAGCACCTGAAAATTTAGTCAGGAATACAATTGCCAGCGAACAACATTTGAAGCCACCGCGCCGAGCCCCCCCCCTCCCTTTTTTTCCGAGTCAACCCGAGCGCTTTCGCTTCGGCCGATCCTGACGCACCCGTCCGCTCAGTCGTCCGCGCGAGGGGAATACCCTTACAGACGACAAGTAAACCCAACCTACAGACAAAGATCTTCAGACAAAGATCGTCCATAAAATACATTAAAATACGCATTGAAATGTACTATCGTGAGGTAAAGGGAGCAGAAAATGATAAGTTGCAGAAGTTAAAGGATTGGGAGTCACTTCGTTTTAAGTTGCGGACAAAAGTTTCAAACAGCACAACACTTTTTGACACACAATTAACTTTTCGGTATTTACTCACCTTCGCCGTTTCACTGCGCTCTTAAAAAAAGTACAGTGGCTCTACTCTGACCTTAGATCAGAGGGTCTGCGGCGGACTGTGGCCGACTTTTGGAAGATTATCGCTCTGAACCCGCGGCTCCTGCTGGGCTGACCGATCTGGACTCAGGACACGGCCGGACTCCTGGACTGGCTTGCTGTGCGCTTGCCGTGCCCGCCGTGCCTTGCCGTGCAGCACCCACATCAAGAACAACAGCTCAGCGTTTTGCGACGGGAGCGTGTCCAGTAAGCAAGTCAGATGAGTACTAGTGGTACTAGTGCTGTCCATTATCTCCGTTTTTTATGGACATAAAGTTCATACAATAAAAATGTTTGTCACAATAACATTCATGCAGAAAATTATACGGAATTTGAAGAAGTCATCATCGGGATTTACTGTTTACTGGCTTAATACATGGCAGAAAATTTATAGGAATAATTTTTGAGCTGGAAAAAGTTTCGAAACAAAACAAAATTTGTATACCAGGTGGCAGGTGGCTGATTAACCCCGCTCACTTCTGTAGTTATGCTGTACCGCACGCGCGAGTGCGGGCGGGCTTGCCTATCGCCTCTGTCCACGGTGCATTAACGAGCCGAGCGAGTAGGCAACCCGCCCGCACTCGTGCGTGCGGTACAGCATAACTACAGAAGTGAGCGGGGTTAATCAGCCACCCGGTATTTTTACCAATCCAGTGAATCCGTCGAAACGATATTGAAAGTCCGAAAACGTCATTTCCCGCGCTCTCTTTACTGACTTCTGGTCCTTTCCTTTAATATGCCACCTCAATCAAAATGTATTTCAATTATTTCAACTGGCTGAGGGCCTTCGTCGCTCTGAACTGTATCACCCTCCGCCAACCCTCCCCCTTTTTCCCCGGCCCGGGCCCGAAGCCGGAGCCTATGAGCACGACGTGCCCGTGAGCCTGGTGCGGCCGCCGCCGCCGCCGCAACCGCTGCCGGCCGGGCCAAATAAAGATAGATGTGATCCTTGCCGAAAATGAGTGGGCGGGATTAGTCCGCCGGGAGCCACGGCTCGAGCCACGGCCAGGGCCAGGCCGCCGCGCCGTAACGTGTTCCTGGCGCCCCGGCCCCGGAGCGCCCCGGCCCCTGGCCGGACTGGCCAAAGGCACTCTAAAACTCAAACTACTCAATTCCAATTCGGCGACCGCTTCACCTCCGACTCCGGCGCTGGTCGGACGCAAGGGCGCTGCCGCTGGCTGCCGCTGGCTGCTCGCAGCGACGATCTAACCCGGCGGCCGAAGCGCACCGTGCCAATCCAATTATGCCATGAAATACACGATTGCCTACCGCCCAGGCGTGAGAAAGGGGCTGGGAGGGGCGGGGTGGGGTGGGTGGGGTGCCGTCCGCACTTAGCAAGCAGGCCAGCGGGGCGGGGCGGGGCGGGGCGGGGCTGCCCCACGTGAGACGCTTGTCGATGAGGCGCTGGAAGCTGCGAGGTTTGGAGGGAGAGGAGGGGGTGGCAGGACCTGCGCCGAAATTCCACGCTATTACAACGCGATCTGCCCCCTCCCCTCTCCTGCAGCACCCCCGCGCCTCCGAACTCACTATCACGCCCTGGGAGTTCATATATGAGACTATCCCTTCTTTTTTTCGCCCTCTCGCCCCCCTCCCCGCCCTTTCTCCGATCTCTTCCCGGCGTGCCGGAGGGGCGGTCGGCGGGAGGTTCGAGCTTGTCCAGTGATAAGAGCGCCACTTCCAGCAGCGCGTGGGTCATCCCGGACGCAGAGGGGAGGGGAGCGGCAGCGTAGGGGAGCACGGCGCCGCGGGCAGGCCCGGGTAGGCACGCCGACGACACGGCCGCGTGCAGGCCGGGAGCGTTGCCTACCTGCCAGGCGCTCTGCCCAGCGGGTTTGGTGAGGTGAGGGGGGAGCGGGGCGAGGCCAGCCGGAGTGCACGCTGCACGCCGATGCAGCGCGGCGCGGTCGGTGCATTCTCGGATCGGCTCACCGGCGGCCAGGGCCGCAGTGGGGACTCGACTTTGGAATGGAAGAGCATGGATTCCGGGCGCGGGAGGGAGTGCTGCAACGCTGACGGTATTTGAACCGACGGGCATCGCGCGCGCCGCGCACGTGCAGGCCGAGGGCTTGGAATACCGAACACAGTGATGTTCGGGAGTGAACTCACGGCGGTGGGGTGAGCACTGAGGGGGACCGTAAACAAAAGCATTTACTGAAATAGTAGAAAATAGACATTGGGGTGGTTAGAATTAAAAGAGGATAATCCGCGACATGTGCTTTTTTCTGTCGCCCCTATTTTAACTATTTGTTGGCTGTTCCCGGCTGCTGGCTGATGAGGGGCAGGGCGGCCCTGGGGGACAGAGAAGGGGGTGACGTGGTGCGTGGGCAATATTAGAGGCTCCTTGGCTGCGCGGAGCCGGCGGGGCGGGGCCGGGGAATATGACAGGGCCGAGGGGTTCCAAGACGATACGACGCAGGTTAGCGTCCAGAGGTACGGCTGGCCTTCCCTCCCGCTCCCGCGAGGACCCGAGTGGTCTGGCGGTGGAGGGGGGAGGGGAGGCCATCTGAGGACCAAG